GATCTGCTTTACTTTCAGCAAGCAAGGTTGTATCATATGCATATCACAGGTTATTAATGAGTCTACCTCCAATCCTGATGACACATTCTTCTTTATACAGTCCACCTTGTCAGATTATTTGCTCAACATACAGATGAAATAAGTATAGTGATAGAATACAACCCTGTCGCACATCTTTCCTGATTTTAAACCATTTGATATCCCCTTATCCTGTTCAAACAACTATCTCTTGGTGTATGTATATTTCCCAAATGAGCACAATTCAGCATTCTAGAATTCTCATTCTTCAAAATGCTATCCAGAGTTTATGATCCACACAGTGGAAAGCATTTGCAGAGTTAATAAAATACAAATAAACATTTTTCTCGTATTCTCTGCTTTCAGCCAAGACCCAGCTGACATCAGCAAGGATATCCTTTGTTTCACATTCTCTTCTGAATCCTGCTGGAATTTCTGGCACTTGATGTGCTGTTGTAAATGGTTTTAAATTATCTTCAGTAAAATTTTGATTGCATGATATTATTCGATAATTTCTGCATTCTGTAAGACATCTTTTTTTGGAATGGGCACAAACATGGATCTCTTCGATTTCTTCCACTCACTTTCATTCCAATCAAGAGCAAATTCAGAGTTTCTTCTGACATTCATTTTTGAGTCTTTTTCTTGCCCTGTCTTTTTAATGACTTTTTGCTGTCTTCATTTACGACATCCTTGATGTCACCCTTTAACTTATCTGGTCTTTGATCATTAGCATTCAATGTGCAAAGCCATTCAGGAGATGGTCTCTAAATTCAGGGTCATATTTTGGCTCTCAAGGACTTGTTTTTAGTTTCACAAGCTTCAACATGAACTTCATATAAGCAATTAGTACCTTGCCTTGTTCATACTGAAGATATTGAATTTATCCATCAGCAGTTCAAGCCTACCAGCCGCTCATCAGGAGAAAGACGAAGCTCCCACAAATATTTAAAAGCCTATGAAACCCTACACAGGGTCATTATGAGTTGGAACCGACTCGACGGCACTTACTAACAACAATAAAGTCTCTTTCTAGAGACGTGGCCGATTTGATTCCATATGGCGAGGTCCAGATGCACTGTTGCCATTTACATGTTGAAAAAAAAAAAAAACAAGGCATTTCCAATGAGTAAGTCATTAGTTTTACAATATTCTACCACACCTGGTAGGCATATGTACATTAGCCTATCACAGACAGCACTGTACTACAAGACAGATCTTGAAATGCTCCTTGTGACAATAAACGTGCTATCATTCCTCTTCAATTTGTCATTACTGACAGTAAATCATATGATTGAGCAGTTCAAAATGTTCAATACCACTCCATTTCAGCTTACTAATGCCTAGAAAATCTACCATAATGTGTTCCATTCCAATTTTGATGACTTCTAATTTTCCTAGAGCCACACCTCATACATTCCACATTGTGATTATTACTGGATGCTAGCAGCTATTTCTTCACATGTTAAGTTGTGCCACATCAGCAAATTTTGCTGACTTCTTGGATAGTCCTTCATTACCAAGTGCCTATTTTCTAGTCTATTGGCTATTCTACTCAATGAAGCTTTCATGCATTTTCTTTTACTACAATTCACAAGTCAGGTTGCAGATAACAAAATAATACTATCTAACCTCACCAGCCACTCCTTGGAAACCCTATACAGGGCTGCTATGAGTTGGAACCAACTCTGTAGCACTTAACAACAACAACATAATACAAATTTGGAGTCCCAGTGTGGCGCTGTAGGATAAGCACTGGACCGCAAAGTTGTTTCGAACTGCCAGCCACGCCTTTGTTTTTGTTGTCAAGTGCTGTTGAGTTGATTCCGACCCACAGCAACTGTATATAGGGTTTGCAAGGAGCTGCTGGTGAGCTTCAAGCACCGAGCTTGCAGCTCAAATGACTTAGCAATCTGACACATTAGCCCACAGCACCACACCAGGGCTCCAGCCACTGCTTGGAAACCTTACATACAGTCACGATGAGTTCGAAATCACTCAACACCACTTTCACTTAACAATAAAAATAATAAATACTCACAGCAGATGTGGAGTATTAATGGCATGTTGTTGCTGTAGTTGTTAAGTGTCATTGAGTCGGTGCCAATGCATAGAGACCCCATAAGGAGTTTCTGAGGAACGGCAGGTGGATTTGAACCACAGATTTTGTGGTTCAAACAGAAATTGTAGTCGAGTGTTTATTCTACAGTGCCACACTAGTACTCCATTAATGCTATGTTTATGTTATATTATGTTTAGGGTTGCCAAGTTGGTTCTGACCCATAGTGACCCAGTATAGGGTTTCCAAGGAGCAGTTTGTGAGCTTGAACTGCCAACCTTGCAGTTCAAATGACTTTGCAGTCCAGCACAATAACCCACAGTGCCACACCATGACTCCACACAATACTATAGGTGGTGGTGGTGGTGTGCCGTGGAGTCGATTCTGACTCATAGCAACCCTGCACAGGGTTTTTGAGGCTGTACATCTTTACGGGAGCAGAAAGCCTCATCTTTCTCCTGCGGAACCACTGGTAGTTTCAAACTGCTGACCGTGAGGTTAGCAGCCCGATTCGTAATGACTACACAATCAGAGCTCCTTACTATAGGTAGTAATAAAATATTAATAATCATAATACTAATCACTATGTAATAGTCTAGATGTAGTGCTGTAGGGTAAGCACTGGACTGCTAACCAGAAAGTCAATGGTTCAAACCCATCGGCCGCTCCTTGGAAACCCTACACAGAGTTGCTATGAGTCGGAACCAACTCAGTAGCACTTAACAACACCATAACCCTACTGAGACACAAATTAAATTTGCCTCATCTTGCAGATGACAAAACTGAGGCACTGTGAGGTTCAAATTTGTTAATCAACGTGACGTGACGGTGGCATTGCTAGGCTATGGGCTGAAACATTATGATCCCAAAGTCTAACTTCTTTACATTGTTATATTTTTCCATTGTTACAAAAACCATGTATACATCTAGCAGCCTTTTCTGAAGTGTGTATCAGAAAGAAGCCTCCTGAACATTAATGGGAAATAAAATAATTTTAATAATAAATGGCTCAATGTTGTTGTTGCTGTAGGCATTGAGACAGTTCCAACTCAGAGTTAGCCTGTAGAGGGTTTCTGAGAGCAGCTGGTGAACCTGAACTTCCAACCTTGTAGTTAAACCAATCCAGTGCTTATCCTACATTGCCACATCAAGGTTCAAAATATTTAAAAGGTAGTTATAATAATAGCATGGACACAAATAAAGCAAGTCTAAAAGCCATCTGAAGAAAATCCAGAAGTGTCTTTACATAATATTGGCAACATTTAATTGGTTTTTCAAGGATGAATTTTGGAATAATATTCAAATGTAGAGTATATCTAAAGCCTGGTGTGGCGCTGTGGGTAATGCGCTTGGCTGCAAAGACATTTGAACTGCAAGGTCGGCGATTCAAGCTCACCAGTCGCTCCTTGGAAACCCTATACAGGGTCGCTATGGGTTGGAATTGACTCAACAGCACTTAACAACATTCAATATAAATGTATTCCTGGGGGCAGTAGTGGGTGCGTGGTAGAACTTGTGCCATGCATGTGGGGGCCCAGGTTCAATTTCCAGTCAATGAACCCATGTGCAGTGGGGTCTTGTGTGCTGCTTCGATGCTTGCAGGGCAGCTAATTATTTATCATGGCCCTTCTTGCCTAACTGCTCTATTTTGTGATAGATTGTAAAGTTTAGCCTCTTTGCCTATGATTGTGGACCAATTTTTCAATGAGTTGCTAAGGAGTAAAAATACACTGGAACTAAGTATTAAGAAGGAGTCCTGGTGTGGCACTGTCGAACAAAGCCCTGGAAAACAAGTCAGTTTGAACTGCAAGGTCAGCGGTTCAAGCCCACCCGTTGCTCCTTATAAACTCTACACAGGGTCGCTATGATTCGAAAGTGATTTGACGGCACTTAACAACAATGACAAGAAGTATTTAGGATGCCTCCACCTTAGTAGAGGGTGTGACTCAAGTCACCCCACTTAGTTTCCCTTGGTGGCATGGTCTGACTCTAATTTCTAAGATGGCTCTAGCTACTCTTGCTCTCTTACCCTGGATCTTGCTCATTACATCAAACCTCCATCCAGGTCCTGGGACTCTGCGCCATTCATCTGATCTGATAAACCAGCTCCCGCAAACTCGGGCATTGACATTCTGTCATCCGACCTGCCAATTTGGGTTCTTGAGCTCCGGAGACTATGTGAGTGAAAAGATTCCTCCAGACTGATCCCTGAACTGAACTATGGATTTGGGACTTGCCAGCCTCCACCATTATGTGAGTCATATCTATTGTCAACTGTGAGTTTTGTGAGATGTTGCAGTGTTGTGTAGAACTCTGGGACTTGAGGGCAGGGAGGAGTGGAGACTGACATCAAGGACTATGAAGGGGTAGAGCATGTTGGGAAAGTTGGACAGCTGGGATATCTTTAACCTCCATCTCCTGGGGAACAGCCCTGTGTTGACTTTTTAAGAAATTATTCTTGCTGAACAAGCTTCAGAGGCACTTTCAGATTAAGACAGACCAGGAAAAAAGACCGGCAATCTACTTCCAAAAGTCAGCAGCAAATGAAAAAAAAATTTGTAAAAAAAAAAAATCGATCTCCCTCTTGTCCTTAACATCATCATGAACTTTGTTATTAAATGCATCTACTAATGAAAAATAACAAACCTTTCTCAGGAAGGTGAACTGGAAATGAAGAAATCATAGTAAATTTATATTTTCTAGGCTTTAGAAATTGACTTTAGCCATGATTGCCTGTTGTCACTAGCTGTGACACAGTATATATTGAGTTGTAATATGGTCCTGAACAATAAAGATCAATACTATATATATCGCATCACCATAGCGACGTCGTAGGCTACAAAAGAGTATATTGTCAATTTCAGGAAACTCTAAGGAATTCTGTGCAGCAGGAGCTGACTGAGGTGACAGCAAGAGTCCATACCTGTACACTGTCCTCCATTGGTGGGGTCACCATAGTAGCCGGCCATGCACTCCTGGCATTGCTTTCCTGTGGTGAGATTCCTACACTGTTCACACACATTATTATTTATGCACGTGCTGTGTCCATTACACTGGCAAGCTGGAAAACACAAATAGCACATGACAATGTTGTTGCTGTACGTTCTGTCTAGCCGGTTCCGAGACATAGCAAGTATAAAAACTATCAAGACAAATAATTTGTTTTAAAAATCTACATGCTAGCAAAGTCCAAAGGGTATTTCCTAAGACTTTTTAAAGCATAAATTATGCAGCTCAAAATATTAACACAAGACATTATAATAAGTACTGTATTACAACGTTACCTCAGATTATACAAATGCCAAGGCAAGGTTTGCAGATAAATTCAAACAAAAACTCAGAAACCCTATACGGGGTGGCTATGCATTGGAACTAATTCTGTGAACCTGTATGCTATTGTAATTGGCCGCTGAGTCAGTTCCGACCCACAGCAACCCTGTGTAAGGAGGGTTTCCAAGGAGCAGCTGGTGTATAGGGCTCCCAAGTCAGCCAGTGGACTAAACTGCCGACTTTTCAGTTACCAGTCCAATGCTTACGATACGATACACCATGTCATCATGGAAAATGATTACGTAGTCACCATCCTCTAAGAAATTCAAAAGCAAGTAGTGTTCAAACTTCAGAGTATATTATAAAATAATTTAGAAAAAAAATAATATGTTAAAATAAATGTTCATGATAAATTCAGAGAAACAAGGTTTCAAACACTGTATTTTGAGTGATAAAAATTTAGTGTTAAGATGTATAAACTCGCCTGTGGCAAAGTTGATCATGATTTTTCTGTATAATCAATTTTCTACAGAAATTCATATTGTTGTTGTTAGGTGATGTCCACTCACTTCCAGCTCATAGTAACCCCATACACAACAGAATGGAACACTGCCCTGACCTGCACAATCCTCACAATTATTGTCATGCTTGATTCCACGGTTGCTGCTACTGCATAAATTCATCTTGTTGGGGGGTCTTCCTCTGTTTCACTGACCCTTCACATGACTAAGCATAATGTCCTTCTTCAAGGACTGGTCCCTCCTAATAACATTCCCAAAGTACGAGAGACAAATCTGGCCATCCTGGCTTTTAAGGAGCACTCTGGCTGTACTTCTTCCAACAGAGATTTGTTTGTTCTTCTGGCAGTGCATGGAACTTTCAATATTCTTCTCCAACACCATAACTCAACAGCATCAATTCTTCTACGGTCTTCCTTATTAGTTGTCCAATTTTCACATGCATATGAGGCTACTGAAAATACCATGGCTTGGGTCAGGTGCACCTTAGTCTTCACTTTAACTGCTATCTTTGCTCTTGAACACTATTAAGGGGATTTTTAAAGATTGGCCTAATGCACTAAGTCTTTCAATTTGTTGACAGCTACTTCCATGAGTGTTGATTGTGGATACAAGCAAAATGAAGTCTCTGACAACTCCAGCTTTTTTCCATAGATCACGTTATTTATTGGTCTGTTGTTAAGTGCCGTGGAGCCCATTCTGACTCACAGCAACCCTGTATTGGGTTTCCTAGGACCATCTGGGGGGTTTAAACTGCCAACCTCATGGATCGCAATCCAGTGCTTATCCTACAGCACCACACCAAGAGTCCTTTATTGGTCTAGTTGTGAGGATTTTTTTTTTATATATATTGTGGTGCAATCCACACTAAAGTCTTTGATCTTCATCAGCAAGTATTTCAATTCCTCTTCCCTTCCAGCAAGCAAGGTTGAATCATCTGCATGTTGCAGGTTGTTAATGATTCTTCCTCCATTCCTGGTGCATCGCTCTGCTTTATAAAATCCAGTTTCTCAGATTATTTGCTCAGCATACAGAATAAATAAGTATGGCGAAAGAATACATTGGCACACACCATTCCTGATTTTAAACTATTCAGTATTGCCTTGTTCTGTTTGAATGGTTGTCCCTTGGACTACATATAGACTCCTCATGAGCACAATGAAATGTTCTGGGGGAATATCAACTCTTCTCAATGTTGCATTTTAAGTGCCTTTCAACCTGAGGAACTTATCTTAAGGTACTCTGATACTATTCTGCTGCTCTTCATAATGGACTCATCTTCTGGTACTCTATCTGACCCTATTCTGTCATTCACAAGGTTGTCAGTGGCTAATCTTTCAGAAATTAAGTCATCTTACTTGTATAATAAACTAATAGTAGTGAGAACATCAATTTTTAAATCATGTGCTTAACAGGCTGTTGTTTTATAGAAAATGTATTATGTGTCACCACTACATTAATTCACTCAGATCAAGACAAAATGTATCAAGGGCTCAGACATAAAGCACACCTGAGGATTTGAAATAAAATAAGGGTGACTACAGTTGTTGATGAAACTTCTGGGCACCTGAAGGAAATCACCAGAAAAAAAAACAAAAACAAAAACACATGCTTTAACTTCTGAGTAAGATGTTAAATTGTAACAATTGCATCTATCTGTCCTCATAGACTTCTATTGAAATAAGGAACCTTCCCAGTAACGACAGGAATTTGAGTGTTGTTGTCAGCTATACAAATACAACCAGAAAACATTAATCTACAATATTTCTGAAAATTGACTTTGGCATATTCGGTGCAATGGTTAAGCAAGGGCTCAGCTGCTATCCAAAAGGATGGATGTTGGTACCCAAGTGACTCTGGAAGTGAGGCTGACAACCTACACCTATAAAGATTACAACCTGGTGGTCTGAAATACAGGGAGGTATGCAGATTCCTGAGTTTATGCTGCTGCCCACTGGCTGAGCCCACAGGGGCAAGGTATAAGCTGACTAGAACCCTACCTAATGGAAAAAAAAAGAAGTCTGACGCCACGAGATGGGATCGCCTGCTGCAATTTGATCATTTGTTCTGGAATGAATTTTGCTTATGGGTGCAGATGCTCAAAGTTCCAAAAGGAACGCCGGAAGATTCTTTAGATGAAAGCACATGCTTGTCTCCTCAGAGTAACGGTTTGATGCTGCTATTATTGTTGTTGCTAATTGCCATTGAGTCAGTTCAGACTAACAGCAACTCCACGCACACCTGAATGAAACACAGCCTGGTCCTGTACCATCCTCACACTTGTTCTGTTGAAGCCCATTGTTGTTGTCATTGTATCAGTTCAACTCATTGAGAAGCTTCCTCTTTTTCACTGACCCGCCACTTTTTCAAATTTGATGTCCTTCTCTCGGAATTGCTCCCTCCTGACAACATGACCACGTATGAGAGACTAAACCTCACCATCCTGTTTTTAAGTGCATTCTGGCTGTATTTCCAAGAAAGATTTGTTTGTTCTTCAGGACATCCATGGGACTTTCAATATTTGTCACCAACATCAGAATTCAAATATATCAATTCTTCTACCATCTTCATTATTCATTCTTCAACTTTCACATGCACATGTCTTATGAAAATGGCTTGGACTAGAACAGGCTACACAAAATGGGGGGAGAGACAAAGGCATGGAACGGATGGGTAATACAGTTTTGTGGCTGTGCTTGCACTCCAAATGAGGGGGATCCCCCACAGAATGGATTCCTCTTTTCTTGATGCATATAGTGAAGAGAGGATGAGGGAAGATCCTGATAGAATTACATGATTTACTTGTGAGTTTTCATTGTTAATTACATTAACTGTGATCGTTAAAATTATCATTGTAAATGCCATGGTGTCTATTCTGATTCATAGCAGTTCTACATTGGGTTTGTTAGGAGCAGCTGGTGGGTTTAAACCGCTGACCTTGTGGTTCGCAGTCCAGTGCTTATCCTTCACTGTGTAAGAATGTAGGCACTGCTTGACTGGAGTAAACGGGTCGAGCTAAAATACCTTAAAGGATTTGCTGTGCTGATACCTAATGAGACTCAGAACAAGGGAACAATCTGCTCTCCAGTGAATGTTATCAGACAGGATGACTTTTAGAGAGCGTGGCCAGACCAGATGGCAATCTGCAGCAGACTGACTAGCTGGAACCTCAGCAACCTCACCTTGACGGCTCTGTCCTACTGATGAACAAATGATTTTCAATGACCTCCTATCTATTAGACCTAATAGTTCCTCCTGGGTCCATTGTTACAACAATCAATTCTACTCAAGTTGCTTTTGTCAGGTGCCACCGAGTTGGTTCTGACTCGTTACGATCCAGACAGAGTTTCTGAGGAGTGACTGATGGATTTGAACTGCCAACTTGCAGTCAGTAGTCCAGTGCTTATCTTACAGAGCCACACTAGGACTCCTGGTAGATATGATGTGGTGTTGTAGAATAAGCACTCGACTGTAAGATCAGTTTGAACTGCAAGGTAGTTCAAGCTTACCAGCAGCTCCTTGGAAACCCTATATAAGGTCACTATGAGTTGGAACCAACTTAACAGCACTTAACAACAATGTGTAAAACAACTTGACATTGGAGTCATGCCTTCTATTTTGTCTAAATTTTAAGAAGAGCCCAGATGACTCCTCATTTATAGATACACAAACAGAAAAACATCAAAACAAAACAATGAGAAAAATCAGCATTTGATATACAAATAAAGTATTGTTTTGAAAAACATG